GGGCGGGAGGGGACGCCCGCAGGGCTGCAGCGGGGACACCCCACAGACCTCAGGGCCCCCGCCCCCGCAGTCCCTCAGTTGTCCTCACAATCTCCGGAAGCATCTCTACAAACACCTGGCACGCCCCCAAAATCTCTGGGGTGCTCTCACAACTTCCTGCGGTATTGCGAGACCCCACAGACTTCAGGGGCGTCCCAACGTTCCTCAGCCACCTCCACAGTTCCAGAGAGTGCCCCCAATATCCCCGAGATGCCCCCACACAACCCAAGGATACCCCCAAATCCCTGGGTTCGGAGAGGGCCCCCACAGACCCCTGGGGACACTTCCAAAGCTACCCAGATGCCCCCTAGTAGTGTCCTCATTGTTGGTGAGACATCCTCACAAACCTCGGGGGCACCCCAAGAGTCCCAGGATGCACCTACAAATGACAGTGGTGCTTTGAGAACCCCTGAGAAACCCCTTCACCTAGATCCCAGAACCACTGTTACAGTTCCCCAGATGTCCCCACACCCCTTAGAACACTCCCACCATCTTTGAATCATGCAGAGACCCCCAGAGTACCACTGGAATCCTCTAGTCACTAACCATTCCCACAGACATGGGTATGAGAGGCTTCAAAGCCGAGGGTCCCTCCAGACCCCAGAATGCTTCCACCGTCCCTCGTTGGTCCCCCAACCCCTGAGTGGCTCCACAGCATCCCGGAGATGCTCCTACAAATTCAGAGACCTCCCCTCATAATCTCAGGAGTACCTTTAGACTCAGGAGGTGATCCTATAACATGGAGATGCCACAAAAATCCTGGGGTGCCCCCAAAACCCAGGGGTACAACTAGATTCCTCCACAACTTCTAAGACAGTTCTACAACCCTAGGCTACTCCCAGAATCAAGATGCACCATATCCTTGGTAACCCACCAGAATACCTCCCTTATTTTATGACATCCCTAGGAGATCTGAGTGTGCTCACAGCCCCAAGACACTCCTTAGAATTTCCGAGGCACCCTTAGAATTGGGGCCCCCACAGCTCATTAGGTGGCCCCAAGAACCCAGCCTCGCCTCAGTGCTGACTCCCGCGCAGGCATAGGGACTTTCTCCCACCACCACCCCAGGTGGCTCGGCATGCCCAACCACTTGACTCTGGGGGGCTCATTACCCCCTTTCACGGATGAGGGAACTGAGAGTCAGAGAGGTGAACACCCTTGAACAAAGTCAGGCAACTGGTTATGATTCTGGAGCTTACTCCGACGTGTTTGTGGCTTTTAGGGGTTGGGAAAGCTTGTTTTAAATAAGTGGGCAAATCTCTGTCTTAGGCTACCACCTCTGTAAATACCTTTCTACCTGTTGACTCCACTGTCACGGGGCCTAGAGTCAGATGGCTCAGGCTTGTCTGGCTTCTGGCACTTAGTCATTTGACCTTGGGACAGTCACTTCATTTCACTAAGCCTCAGTTTTCCCATATGTAAAATGGGTATAATACTACACATCTCATGGATGGACAAAGGTTCTAGACGTAGTAAGCACTCACTAAATGCTAGTTACAATTATTATTTGACAACACATTTATGAAGAGCTTATAATGTGCCAGCCGCTGTACTAGCCAGTGATGATGATGATAATGATGCTGATCATAGCAACAAACCTTCAGAATGCTTCCTGAGATTCAGCGCCTCTAGTCATGATGTCATTTAATCCTCACAAAACACCTGCAAAGTGATACTAGTGCTGTCCCTACTTTACAGATGGGAAAACTGAATCTTGGGGGGACACAACCTGTTCCAAGTCACAGTCAGTGAGTGGCTGATCCAGGCTCTAGACCAGTGTTTGTCACCCTGTATTTTATTATTGCTTCCCTAAGGAGTAGCCTTTTTAGACATCCCCATTCACCTCCTCCATAAAATGCTAATACCACAGACATACTGTATATTTGTTTATGTACTGTGTGAATATGGGGGCTTTGTACATATTTTTTTTTAGTAAGAGTGGAAAGGAGGGGGGGGAAGACAGGAGAGAGAGAGAGAGAGAGAGAGAGAGAGAGAGAGAGAAAGAGAGAGAGAGAGAGAGAGAGAAACATCAATGTGAGAGAGACACATTGATTGGTTGTCTCTCACACATGCCCGACTGGAGGTTGGGGATGGAACCTCCAACCCAGGTACTGCTCTTGACCAGGAATTGAACCCTCTACCCTCCAGTGTGCAGGCTGACGCTCTAACTACTGAACCACACTGGCCAGAGCTGTATATAAATTTTTTTTAAACATCCACCCCAACAACCAAATTTTACACCCAAGGAGGTGATATCATCTCATTGGGAATGCACGGTTTCCCAACCTGGGCACTACTGACATTTGGTGCCTGTTAATCTTTTGTCCTGGAGGGGCAGTCCTGTGTCCTTGTAGTAGAAGCAGAATCCCTGGCCTCTACCTACTAGATGACAAAAGCACCCTCTCAGTCATGACAACTAAAATGTCTCCAGCCATTGCCACATGTCCCCTGGGGGGACAGATTGCTTCTAGCTGAGAACTCCTGCTCTAAACTCATGAAGACCCATCACTGGCCACCAGTACCTCTTGGTCCAAGTACAAACAGAACTAGGAAAGACATTCACGTTTACCTGCCCTTAGACTTCCCTGAATTGTTTTGCTGATCCCGCACATCAGACTTTGGGAATAGATCCCTTACAGGCCCATTTCACAGATGGGAAAACCAGGGCCCAGAGAGGGGAACTGACTTGGCCAGGGTCACCCAGCTCGGAAGGGACAGACCTGGGTTATAAATTCAGTTGTCTGGTTCTAAGAACTGGAATTTTAGCCACTAGGTCCTTCACAGGTCAGTTCCCTTCCAGCCCAGTGAACTTTGTCCCTTCCTAGGAAGTCAGAGGTAAACTGAGGTCTGAAGCTAACCTTGACCGAGCTTGCAAGACCCTGACACAAGCTGCCCCATCTCCTCCCTGCTTCATTTTCCTTCACTCACCCCTTGCTCACTACTTTTCTTCCAACATATCAGACACATTCCTACCTCAGGAACTTTGTACTGGCTGTTCCCTCTGCTTATCACCCTCATCCTTCAGGCAGCCACATACCATCCCCCCTCTCACTTCATTTAGGTCTCTGCTCAAATGTCATCTCCACAGAAAGGCCTTCCCTGTCCCCAGGGTCCCTCTTTTCTTCATGTCCCATGTGTTACCATCTGGAATTATCATTATTCCTTTATTTGCTATGTCTTCCTCACCCACTAGTCTGAGAACTGGAGCCACAGCCTGCATCTGTCTCTTATATCTTATGTCACAGCCTGAAGATCCTCCATCAATAGCCCTGTTACAGATGAGGAAACTGGGATTCAGATGGTTAAGTCCTTTCCCAAGGTCACAAGTCAAGGGCAAAGGCTGGATTTGAACTTTTTACTCGAGAGTGAAAACAGTGGGTCCAGATGCTCCCCTCCCCACCCAAACTCTGTCCTCACCCTGCCAGTCTGTGGCTCCTGCAGACCCAAAGCTCTGGTTTCTGCAACTCAGAGGGGCTTGCAGTCAACCTGTTACTGGTTAAAGAGGGGACACCCTGGCAGCCAGGGCCTGGGCTTGTGATGTGGAGAACACCCCCTTTCTCTTTGCTGAAGTCATTTTAAGGAAGTGCAGTTCTCAAAACACCAGCTCTTGATCGCCCAGACCTGATGTCAGCCATCTCAGCCTTAACACGGCAGATCTTATTCAGCCGGTTTGCTGATGACAAAACGGAGGCCCAGAGAGGCCTGATCTCTGGCCCCAGGTCACACAGAGCAAAAGGGCAGGGGCACAATCTGAATCTCACCCACTGGTCTGGAGCGGAGGAGACCTGGTTTTTAACCCCAATCCCGCCCCTCCTGGCTGTGTGACCTTGGACAAGCCACTTCGTCTCTGTTTCCTCGGCGGGAATGGAAAGCCAAAGATGCTGGGAGTTAAAACGCAAGTTGGTGTTAGGAGGCCCTGACGTGGATGTGGACAAGCCCGCGGCCAGACCGAGCTCCGGGTTCTCAACTTTTCCGCCAAGTTCCTCTCTATCCGCCAGGCGGCGGTGTCCAACGCGCTCGGCTGCAGGATAGAGGATGGGGATGGCGGCCTGGTCCCACCCACCCGGGGAAGGAGCAGACCTCATCGGTAGCCTGCGGTCGGCCGGCTTGGCGCCCGCATTCCGAGGCGCTCAATAAGCATGAAATAATAATACGGGGCGCCGCGGCAGTGGCGGCGGCGGCGACTTTGCTCTTCAGGGACAAGTGCGAGCGGCAGGTCCGGACTCTGAGCGCACTTAGCCTGCCTGTGCCTCTTCCGTCGTCCAGCAGGGGGCGCGCGGAGGCATGTGCTCCCAGCACACATCCAGGGACCTGGGAGCGCCAGAGACAAGGGGAGGCGAGGACCCAAATGGGCACAGAGACCACCGGCCAGAGAGAGACCCCAGTCGGGCTGCCTCCACCCCTTCCTGGGGCCAGGCAGCGACCCCCTCGGTGGGGAATGTTTGAGGGCGCAAAGTGGGGCAGTCGATACGTTGGCTCCACTCTCAATTAAGGCAAGCTCCCCCCGCCCCCCGCCCCCAACCACCAGAGTCCTTCTCTTCCTCCAGCTCCATCTGCCTCTTGACAGATCGTGGCGGTGCCATGACTCAGCCCCGCAGGGCGCCAGGAGCACAGTCTCATACATCCCCAGGTCCGGAGGGGGCTGTGGGGTGAGGATGCCATCTCGGATGGGGGCAGGGCCCTCTCCCTGGGGGTTCCTATGACTCAAGTCTGGAAGGCTCTTTGGACCCCCTTTGTGGTGGCTGCATGAACGCCAACGTGGGAAGTGGTGGAACCCCTGTGTGTGCACTGGTAAGACCCCCTGTCTGGAGAACTGGCTGGCAGAAGGCACGTTCTAAAAAGCAAGGTTCCCATGGGAGGCCTCTCAGTTCCCCCTTCCTCCCTCTGCCTGGCACCAATGCCCTCCCTCCTGCCACAGCCCCTGGAGGCTACACAGGCCACAGTGAAACAGAAACCTGAGCCTCTGAGGGATGTGGTTGAGGTTCCTGTTTTTTCTTCCCATCCTGGAGGAGCAGGTTCTATGCAGGCCCCACCTCCGCTCTGGAATCCAGGTCCCTGAGTAACTAGCTACTGAGCACTCACTATGTTAAGTCCTTTACACGCATCCCCAATCTCACAGACCTCTTAAAGCGACCCCCAGAGGGCAGTGCTGACAACAGTCCCACTTTACAAATGGGGAAATTGAGGCTCAGAGAGGGCAAGGCCTTGTGCCAGGACACACAGGCCGTCAGACAGACCCTGTATGGGCATCTCAGCTCTACCATTTCCTGGTTATGTGAGCTTGGGCAAAAAGAAGGGTCTTTGCCATTCTAAGCCTGTTTCCCCATCTGTCCAACAGGAATACCTCAAAAGGCACAGGGGATGAGGACTTGTGAAAAATTCCCCCACATGGAGCCCGCCCAAGAGCGAGCCATTAGGAGACAGATGCCACTAAGATGATGATTATTAGCACTATTCACGGTCCCCGTCCCCCGAGAGTCAATACCCCAGGGACCAGTCTAGCAGGAGTCCTAGTGGGGGGCCTTAAAAGGGGTTAGGGTCCATGGGGGGGGGATGGGGGTTAATGGGGGGGAATGAGGACACATTTGTAATTCCTTAACTAATAAAGAATTTAAAGATTAAAAAAAAGGGGTTAGGGTCCAGTTCCTCCTACTGCACCCCACCCCCTCCCTGGTCTCTCAGGACAGTGACCGCTGGCGTGCTGCCCTTGGTCTTGGCATTTCCTGTTGATTCAGTTTTGTTTTCCTTCAGCTCCTCTCAGTTCCCTTTGGGAAACAGCAGGCTGCGTGTGGAGCCTATGACAATCGCTTCCTGGGAAAAGGTTCTATGGCTGGATGTGTCCCACATTGAGGTGGGTGGAGGTGGCCTTGGGGGCGATGGTGCCTGCTAGAGGTCCCCAGAGCTAGAATAGTAGGGCAATAGCCTAAAAGGACCTCCCTTGGGAATTCCTGGAGTGAGAGGCTGAAATGTCTTAGTGATGTTCCAAACAAAGGGGTACTCAGGGGGGGCAAGCAAACCGCACAGTCACAGCTGTCAGTCACACATGCCACCAGAGCGCACACAGTCAAACCTCAAGCACCATCAGAACACCAGCTGGGTAGAGGACAGCACATCAGGCATTCAGGAACACACCCGAAAGTCAGAGCACTGACTCCCGGACACGGGGCACACGGGCAGCGGAGAGCACGCCGCAATGTCTCAATCTCAGTTTCTCAGGGAGAACAGACAGTCCTGCTGACACAATCACATTGTCCTGGGAGTGTACACATTGCAGTGCCACCCTCACTGCACCCCAGGAATGCACATGGTCACAGTCGCTGTCCCAGCAGCACACACACTCACTGTCATGATCACTGTAATGGGAGCAGGCACACTCACAGCATCCCAACAACACCGTCAGTAACACAATTACCACACCCGGGGAGCACACACAGCCACAGTCACAGTATTCCAGTAGCACAGTCACAGTCACCGTCCCAGAAGCACAGTCACAAAATCACTGTCCTGGGAGGCCACACAGTCCCAGGTTACAATCACAGGACCTCAAAAGCCCTACCCAGCCAAGGCAGCCACAGCTGGTCATACCCCAACAGCTGGAGCAATGTCAGGTCAGGGAGAGGATACAGTCAGAGACAGCCCAACACACCCCCTCACTAGCACTGTCACCAGGGGAGGCAAGGGTCCCTTCACCCTGTGCTGAGACTATGCAACCCCTGCACAGCTACTGAACCTAACTCTCTCCTGCCCTGAGAAGGGGGCTCCATCTAGCACACAGCCCCCAACACCGTGCTCCGCAAAGAGGCCCTCTCTGGATTTCTTACTCCATCTGCTGCAGGGTGAGTCCACAAATACCCCCATTCCATATAGTCCTCCACCCCCTAGGACCCTGAGAGCCCCTCAGCCTGGAAGAAACACTGGTCCTAGCAGGTGCCCCCCTAAAAGAGTGCCCCTAGGACATCCCCAACACAGTTAATCTAGCTTTCAGTACAGTGCTTCCAGGAAAGTCCCTTGAAGTGGTGCCCAGCCTAGCCACTGTCCTGCACTGCCACCAATTAGGGATACAGACCCCTAAAGCTGCAGCCCTCAACCCAGACCCTGTTATTGCCACACGCAGCATGGCCCCCCTAAGTCAACCCGAGGATGGGCTTCAGTAATCCTCGGGTACAGTGCACTACCAGGGGCCGGGTCCCAGCTACTCCCGCAGTAGAACTCTCCTACCCCTACCTCCGCCAGTCACACTGACCCCCAGCCGCATTACAGCGCCCCCTGCGGCCAGCGGGGCGAGTTGCATCATTCCTGGGCGCCTATCCGCTCCGCGCGCGTCCATCGCCGGTAGTCTTACCGCCTGCAGCTGCCTCCGCCCGCGCCACTGCTGCCGGTGCCGTGGAAAGACGAGGGCCAGGACATGCGGGA